CAACAGGTATTTAATTGATTATACTCTTTCTTTGCCAAATGAAAATTTAAATGATAAAAAATGATTAATGATGATGATAAAAAATGGCGGAAATTAAAAATTTTATTTATTTATTTATTTATTTACCTTACAATGAGATAATATATTGCATATCTCAAAAACTTTGTTCCTTGAGGATGGTGATAAATTCATAAAAATAATTAATTCAATTTGTATTATTTCTAATAATTTCCCATCTATTCGTGGTTTCGTCGACGATTCCCCATAATTTTTTTTATTTTTATTTTTTACTGTGGATTCTCTTTTGTTCTGACATTTTTTCGTTATTAAATTACATTCAGTAGGTGATGGTATACCATCATCTTTATTACATTCATCATTATCACCACGATGAACATTATTATTATTATTATTATTTTTATGTATGCGTTTTGCATATACTAATTCATCGATAATATATGATAAACATGTTAAACTATTGTTAGCGATACTGTTATTGTTACTGAGAATACTGTTATCAGAATTATCATATACGTCATCGTTTGGTTTTAAAAAAAATTGAAATGCTTTTTCTTCCGATGGTATAATTATTTTCAAATGTGATTCCGTTGGACATTTATTATTTAAACGTACGTTTCTATTATTTATGTTTGAATCTATTGAATCATTATTATTATTATTACCATTTGTTTGATGTTTAAAAATTTTATTATATGCTGCCAATGAATCGGATATCATTCGTATTTGACTGTTAATTTCAACGTTGTCAAATGAATAAACATTTTCAATGTTATTCAAACGATGCTATTAAAATAAAAATAAATAATTATTATTAAATATAATAATCTAATAATTATTAAAATTGTAAAATTTTTTGGTATTTACTTACCTCAGATTTGTTGTTATTATCATTTTCTTTCTGGTCCATGTTCAAATCAATCCATTTTCTATTATTATTATTATTATTTCAACTTAGAATGACATGTGAATATATTTATGGATAAGAGAAGGAAAGAAAATTTTTTTTTTATCCCTAATTTGTGTCATTATTTAATTAATTAAATTATAAAATATTAAATAAAATATTTGTCAACATTTTGTATTTATGTTTCTATATATTATTTTGTATTTAATTTTCCATTTTCATCCACTTTTGAGAATGGTTAGAATTTTTTTTTTTAACTAAAAAAAATTGATGATAATAATAATTTTTTGTTTACTTAAATAATAATAATAATAATAATAATAATAATAATAATAATACTTGTAAATTATGTTGGTTGTCATGAATTTGAAATTGTATTTAAATAATAAAAAACGGGTGAATAATGTTGTAATTTTTATAATTATATATTTTTTTTTTTTTGTTGTTGAAAATAATTTTTTAATAACGTTCACACGCGTCGATGATATATAATTTTTAAAAAAATATTTTTTTGTTTTACAAAAACATAATTAATTTGTTTTTTTTTTGTATTTTTGTATTTCAGAAATGTTTTATTATGATATGCGTGTGATATATTTTCACCAAATAAAACTTTTTTAGTTTTAAATGTTTAATTATGAAAATGAGTAAACGAAACAAATCAAATTTAAATTTTAACGTTATTTATTATTAACGGTTTTTTTTTTTTTTAAATTTAAAACTTAATGTATTCGTTACGTTCTCAAAGTCATAGAGTAATAAAAAATATTATTTTTTTTTTTTAGTTTATTAATAACAAACCAGATGGGGGGGTAGGTCGTCAACATGTCAGTTTAATGACAGTTATTGAAATTTGACAAAAAAAATTTTTTTTTTTTTTTTTTTTTTTAAATACAATAAAAAATAAAATAAAAATTACGATGTAAGTTAAAATAAAGAAGAAAAATTAAAAAAAAAAAAAAAAACTAAAAAAACTAAAAAAACTAAAAAAAACTAAAAAAAACTAAAAAAAAAAA